ACTGTTGCTATTGCTGCTGCTGCTGCTGCTGCTGCTGCTGCTGCTACTACTACTACTACTACTACTACTACTACTAGCCACCCCCCCCCCCTACCAACTACACTTGCTCCATCCGGGCTGGGCAGTGGCAACTTCTAGGCTCCCTAACTGCGACAGCTGCAAAAGATGCAGGGGCTCAGGCTCCCTATTTGTGACAACTGCAAGGGTTGCAGAGGCTCACTTTCCTGAACTGTCACAGCCGGTGAAGTTGCAGAGGCTCAGGCCCCAAAACTGCGACAGCAGCTGCAGTTGCAAACTCGACGGGGAAGAAACCACAGGTGGTCGGATGGTACGAAAACGCTGTAAATCGATGTAAATGTGCTGCCAAGAAGGTTTTTGACACTCTTAAAACCTGAAGCGCAACAGCCTATAAACATCAAAAACAAAGATGCCAGCTGTACGTGGGAGGGCCTCCCAATACCCTTAAAGCCCAAACCTGGGCGCAGGAGGGTCTGCTTTTGAAGTGGTGCGTGGTGTGTGCGCGCTAGGGTGTCGAGATATTGTTCGGGGTGTCCGCGAAACAGTGTCCTTCCCCCGCCCCAGTTTCGAGTTTGTGCCGAAAGCCCAAGGTCGAGTTCGCAAAGTCCAGAAGTAGGTTTGGTGAGTACATAAGATGGTCCGACATCACGAAAGTACCCGAGTAAAACGGCTTTTCTGGAGATTTTGTTCGGGGTGTCTGCGTCACCGTCATCATCCCCCTCTCCCCCCACCTCCCCGCCGAAAAGCAAGTCCAAAATCCAAAGCTCGAGTTTGCAAACTCGACAAGTCGTTTTGAGGCTTCATAAAATGATCCTACATGACGAAAGCGCTGTAAATACCGAGTAAAATGATGTTGCTTTCGTACTTGGTATGCGGTGGGTGCCTACTACTACTACTACTACTACTACCACCACCATCACAGCATTACCACTACCACTACCAGTAGCGGTACCACTACCGCTACCACTACCACTGCCGCCACCACAATCGCGACAAGGACGAGGATACGACCACGACTACGACCAATACTGCTACTACTGCACCTGCTGCTGCTACCGCTGTCGCCGCCGCTGGTGGTGGTGGCGTTGGTGTGCTGCTGTTGCTGCTGCTGCTGCTGCTGCTGCTGCTGCTGCTCCTTTGCAGCAACAGCAGGAATCATATGCGCGAACCACACCGCAAGCGCGTGACAAAATCGGCACCATCAACAGCAATCAGCAACTGACCGACAGTTGCCACATGGAAAAGGTCAGAAGATGGTAACTGACACAGAAAACATACAACGTACTATACGCCCTCATCAGAATGTCGGGCTTGATGAAAAGCAAGGCTGTACAGAAATAATGATAAGCGCTTAAAAACTTGGCGACTTTGTAAATCATGACGTCACGGCCACAAGCAGAATGCTGAACGAACCTCGATCCTCACTACTGCAGTGCTGAATACAGTCGGAGTATGTAGCGGCTGCATATTGGACAGTTGCAGGTCTCCAGGAAGCTGACTTCTCGCACCATGTCTTCTTAACTTCTTGCAGCAAACCAACCTGACTTTAGACACAAGCAAGGAAGAACTGCCCTGCTGTCATCTGCTCTCGCCAGGACCCTTCAGACCTCTACGCGCCTGAAGTGTACTCCGCCGATCTGAAGGGGGAGAACTTTTTTTAGTTATATAAGTTATATATACATATATATATATATACATATATGTATATAGATATATACTAGTTTATTATGTATATATATATAGCGTGGTAGAAGCTTGATATGCAAGATGAGACATCCAGGCAGTGCTCGAGATTGGATGATCCTAAATTCTCACCCAAGCTGAACTCTAGGTCCAGACGTGTAGTGTGATTTGTTTGCCTGCTCGCTGGTGCCACAAAGTGGCAAGCTGTCATGTCGACATCTCTCCCATGGCTCCAATTTGTGAAGCTCTCTTGCCCAAAGCCCACGAAGGCCTTGGAGAGCCAAAGCCTTGTGGAGATCGAAAGCCCATCTAAGGAGTTGGAGAACCCATTCCACCTCCAAACCACTTGTGGCATGATCCTTTCATCCTGCAGCCCCAGTATAACCTTGAATACTATCGTAGAGCATGGCAAGGTTACCTTGGTTAAGTATAGCAGGGTAATGAATTGGTACATTCTCTCGTCTTGTCAACTAGCTTGGCATGGCATAGAACAGCATAGCACAGCACCGTTAAGCATAGGCATAGGTAAGTATAGTAGAGCAGAGTAGTAGAGTATGGTAGAGTACGTAGCATAGACTACAGTACAGAATTGAAGAGTAGCGTAGAGTAGTGTACGGTTAGAGCAGAGTTGAGTTATGTAGAGTTTATGTGTTCGGGTTTAGTTCTCCACTGCATTAGAGCTCAGGAATCTGTCTGATAGCACTGATAGCGTAGGATATGACAGCACCAGCCGGTTTTGGGCAGCGCCTGGTTTCCTTTTCATTCTCATTCTCGCGGGCAGCAGCAACGGGAGGAAGACCGTGATAAAATTGGTCAACCGGCAGCACCGATGGGAGCAGGGCAGCACCTGACAGACAGTGGGCATACTAAAGGTTCGTGAGATCAACATGGACGCAATATCCTGGATGCGTAACACCGTGGTTGCATTTGCGATGCCATGTTGAAGAGTACTGGCAATGTGGGTTTATCTATGTCGAGTCCTGCAGTCTTACTGTAGCATGACGTGGATGAAGATAGCAATAACAGCGATGCTAGCGGCGATCTTGATAAGGAACTTACTGTCTAAATACAGCCATGTCGTTCACCAGACGGCAGTGATTCTTGCGATAATGGTGAACGTGCGACGATTTTGATGGCGGTTGACATGGTCGTGCTGGTGGTGATGGCGATGCCCCGGATAGTGAATGAGGACGAAGATGAGGAGGACGGACATGAGGATGATGAGGAACATGGAGAAGACGAGCCATTTCACACCGCGACCACACGCACCCATATGTATACATGCGTATACATGTCTACAGGCATAGATGCATCCGCGTACACACGCACACAAATATACCACCTAAACATATATATATATATATATATATGTGTATATATAGATATGCACACACGCACTGGCTATCTATAAACAAATCTATCTATCTATCTATCTATCTATCTATCTATATAGATAGATAGATAGATAGATAGACAGACAGATAGACAGATAGACAGATAGACAGATAGACAGATAGACAGATAGACAGATAGAAGACAGATAGATA